CAATTGCTTTTCTCAGGAATAAACAGTGCACTTCAGTAGGACATCATTCCATATGAATATGTAAGTGGGGAAAAAATATTATAAGTATTATCGTTTTTTTCCATTTTAGATTAAAGCAAGACACACTGGGAAATTTACAGGAGTAGTTCATTCATTAACAGAAGAGAGGACCTACTGTACCCAAACCCTAGGTTATATTAAGAGAGGGTCAATGCATTCTTTCTGAGCCTTTTGAAGTTCATACTTCATTAAGCTGCGTGACATTTTGCCTTGGAAGTGGGAGCTCTCATCTCTATCAAAAAGTCTCCTTGAGAAACTCTGCAGGTTACACAGCTCCTAAGTGGCAGTTTAGACAAGAGACTCCATCCACAGACCTGATTAAAGACCAAAGTCAATGGCAGCATTTTTATCAATTAAATGTTTGCCCTCTCATGCAATCACCAGTTATGACACATTTAGGTTTGTCACTCCAAATAACGTGGGCACACCTTAGGTAAACCATGCAGAGGAGGAGTGCTGTGATTTAAAACAAGTTTGTTCCTTTTAATCTAAAAGGAAAAAGGAAAAAAGTTTGCAGCAATACATCACCCTTCTCCAGCTGCTAATCTTTTCCATTTCACACCCACTGATCATTATCACCATGAAAAACCACTCCTGTCTTAAAGGCAGATCTAAGGTTGTAGCCTTGGTTGTAATCAAGAGTAGATGAGCTTAATGCTTCCCAACGCGTTCCCTGCATGTCACCCCAGTCCTTTTCCAAAACATTCATACCCAATAATACTCTCAGGTTATTTTTCGGAGAAAAAAACCCCAACAAAACCAAAAACCAAAACCCAAATCAACATTGATTTCAGAGTGGCAGGAGACGTGACTGGGTTAGATAAACGATCAATAACACTACAAAGACCCCACAGTCAGCAGAGCCTGAAATCGGAAGGCACGCACATCACTTTGGAAGTACAATTTTCAGGACTCTATGTAGCTGAAGACTCAACCTTGTTAATTCCCTCCCATGCACTCAAAATTTATTAAAGTTTTGTCAGAAACCTTGATCCTTTTGTAATTAAATCTCCTGCTGAATACTCTGCTGGACTCCCAATTAATGACAATGTTTCTAAAAAGATCAACACTTCACCTTTGCAAAGCTCTCTCCCATTTTCTTTCACTTGCCTGGATGTTAGAAACAGTGGAGTTTAAGCTAAGTGACTAATTTGTATTATTTCATCTATAAACAGAGAGCTTAGTGAATCACAATAACAAAAAGGTCACTTACTAACAAACCTCCATTGTTTAGAGCCTTTTTCATCCTTTTTTTCCCACTCCTTCATGATCTGGATATTGCAATAACACACTGACAAGAGCTAGGAAGCACCTTACAGTACTGAAGTTGAAATTTTGACTTTTGATGATAGAGAGATAGAACGTTTATAAAAAGATGATCAGCAAGGTCATTGCAAGTACTTAAGGAAAACAAACAAAACCCAAGCTCCTGACTTCCCACCTCCCATCAACCAAAGACTCCTGCAACCCTCCTGTTCCACTCCAGTACTGATAGCAAACAAACAGCTTGGTCCATCAGTTTTGAGACCCTGGACTTCCTGAGCACAAAGTCCCAGGCACATCAGAAATAAGGTTTGAAACACTACCCTTCATCCACTGCGCTGTGCCTGATAAGAATTTCTGTATCAACAGGACAGCACTGTTAGTTTTGGATTTAAACCAGTATTTGTGCATCAAGAAAGATATTCCCAACTGCAGTCTAAGGCCAGGCAACCAAAGGACTGTCCAGCCACATGGATCCTTTTTTGCAGGTGACGAAATCAATGCATCTTAAGGACATGGGTTTGAATATCTTTATTTCAAATTCACCCCACAATATTCAGCCACAGGCTCTGCAAAGTCACACTGCCTTTTCTAAAGGCAATGATGTGTTGACAGTGGTAGGATGGAAGAGCTGGTTGACCTACAGCCTGTGTGAGCACTGGTGGTATCACACCCAGGCTATATTGAGGAACACTCCCCTGCCCTATCTCTCCTGGCACAAGCCCCTCTGCCCCATGACTGTGCTGCTGTGAGCAGCACCCAGGGCCAGAGGAGCTCGTTAAACGGCATTAAGGGAGGTAACAAACAGCTCTAGGTGACAGATACAATGCTCCTGGGGGGACCTGGCTCCTGGGAACAGCTGTTGACAGAGGAAAAGCTGAGCTGTGGTTCCAGCCCAAACCCGCAGCAATACAATGCTGAGCTCCAGTTCCTGGCAACCTCATTAACCAGAGAACAATCAAGCAACGCTTAAATGAGACTTATTTAATCACAAAAACATGACACTTGTTGTTATTATTACAGGATGTGTTTTACACCTTATTTCTTAATTTTCACACTTACAAAGGCCAGTAGTCTCATCATTACAGGCTGTGACCTCCAGTGGTCACAAGCTCTGCAGGGGCAGGACAGATGACTTTTACAGCAGAGGTAAATAAAAGTCCAAGCAGCCAAAAGAAAGTACCAGGAAGGATGCAGCAGGTGGTCTTCTCTCTATTCATGCACATTGATTTGAATAATACAAGAATCTCTATCCTCCTATTAGTGTGTATTTGAAAGTACAATCTTTTCCATCACCCACAAAACTTTGGTCCCAAGTACACTGGATATCTCAGGTTCCCAAATCCCTTTTCTTAATTATGAAGCATTAATCTGGGCAAACTGGTGATTATCAGATAGAATAAAATATGCTCTAGCTCTCTAACTGGCTTCCAGGAACTGAACTGGAGACATAGTTTTTTACTTTCTTCTCCTAAAAGGATCTCCTGAAAGTAATGCTGCTGCTGATAAAACCAACTATCTAATGGAGCTTTCAGGATGAAACTCGTCCAAGATTTAGTAAAATAATAAACAAAATTATGTAATCCTGAATCTAAGATAGTGGCTTAAAAAAGGAAGAGTGCAAAGGATGTAATGCAAAGGTGTCAAGAACAAAACGGGGAAGTGTGGGAGAAGCAAATTTTCCTGAGAGTGGACAAATACAGGGAGATCCTCTGACATGTCAGTATTACCTGTTACTTCCAATGGTTTACAGAGATGGAATTCCTTATGGAGAAATTCACAGGATACTGTTCTCAGTTATTTGAAAACAGGCTCTAGGAGCCTCTGTGTGGAAAACAGTGCCATCACTTTGAAGAAGGAACCTCATGAAGTTTGCTATTCACCTACCAATGGCGAGGCTACAAGACTCTTGTGTATACCCTTGGAAAAATTACCAGGAGGATGCTTTATTCTTTATGTTCTGCTCACACCTAACAACTCTCAGACATGCTGCCAATCAGCAACACAAGGAAAACAAAACTGATCTTAAAATGTACAAAGCATTTATACTGAAAGCAAACAGAACAACTAAATATTGACTTTTCAAATTTCCTTAAGCTACCAAAATTTTTTGTTTTGGAAGGGAGCTGATTTGGGTATACACCTGGTCGGGGGGGAGAAGGAAGAGAAAAGAGAGTCACTGATGTATTAATAATGTTGTCACCAACTTATTTGCATTGCAAAGAAACAGTACACCAAGTGCCATACAATCGTTATTTTACAATGGGCTACGTTTGACTTCAGCCCAGTTCTCACTATCACGTAGGGATGAGGACTTCTAAGTGTACCACTTCAGTGTTACATATTAAATAAAACCCCACACAAAACAGTGGGAAAATAAACTCATTCAGTAGATAAGACTGAGAAAACAAAGCCTTCTGATTAGTTAAGTCATACACAGTTCAAATGACATAAGGATAATTTTATCCTGCATTCCACCATTCACATGTTTCTACTGTAGCAACTCTATCATATATTTGAACATAAGTTTCATTCTCTTTTAATGTGTTTTAAGCTTAAATTGAGTTTTCTTTAAAGTCAAGGTGCATTCAATAGGCTTGAGATTTAACAAAATTCAGACAACATTTAGTTTCAAAATACAGAATATGGCATACTCCAGGAAAGCATCCTCCCAAAGTCAGGTCACACTACGTAGTGTTTTAATCTTGCTTCAAGCACAAGACTTAGCACAATAAGTAGAGAATAAATTCCAACATAGACTTCCAGTTGGCAATTAAAAGTAGGCAAAATTTAAAGCTTCCATGGCATTAAAGGTGAATATCATCCATTATTTACAACGCACAACACTCTCCAAGATACAGGTCTACTAACAGTCCTGATTGTTTCTTCTTCCTTCCCTTTAAAAGCCACATTTGCAAGCAATTTTCCCTTCAAATTTTCCATCCTTGCATCCAGCTCTGCCCTTGCTGGCGAGGGCAGGGCCATGAGCTTCAGCAGCTAACGCTGCTCCGAGCGGGGCAAGGCAACATGGAAAGCAAACAGTTACAGACCTGGCTGGCAGCTTTGGCACAAATTTAACACACACATTCGCACACCCCCGCAAACCCAGGTCTAATTTGACAGTCCCCATGTTCTGCAACAAAGCTGCTATTCAGAAGCAAGAGGAAGCTTGTTCCTTGCTAATGGAGCCACGGAGGTTATGAGCTTCCAGGAGGCTGACGTAAACCATACCCTGCTGCAGCCGAGCCCTGCGCTGCTTCCAGTTCCTCCCTGCCACGTTTAAAACTGCAACCAGAAAAATATTACCACAGTGGGCAAGCACTGCACGCTGGGATGCCCCATTTTCCACCCAGGCAATTTCTTCTTACCACCTCTCAACACATCGAGTCACACGAGCGCAGCCGTGAGCTCCAGGGAAGGGGAAAAAAATAAAAGCAGGGGATACCTGCACAGAGACAGCATTGTATGGCTCAAAAGTTATTTAAAACAGTGTGCTGGAAAGCCAGAGGAGCTCTGGGACTTACCTGGGCTTTATCACTGAGCATTTGCAACTGAATTAATATAAATAACCTCCTCAGGGAGCAAAGAGAAAAGGAGCAGCATCTCCAAAAAGATGATGGGAAGCGTTTTGTGTGAATAGTAGAAAAGGGAAAAAAAGTATTTTAATTGGTACTCACATATAACGGGGCTTGCTGTGGATTAAGTTTCATGACCTCAGAACACTGAAACAAAAAAGAAAAAGCAAGTTTAAGCTATTTTTCATAACATTTTAGGTACTTCTTTATAAGTTTCTTTAGCATCCACACATTACTTCTTTCAATAATCCCTTTTACACAGCAATTTTCTATCATCTCCCTTTGAACCAACAAGAATCTGTCAATTTTTTATTTTTTCTTAAATTTATCCTCACATTAAGCAAAGACAACTCTAAAATAATTAGTAAAGTGCCGATCTGAGCCATCTGCAGTGTTGGTGCTGAGGAAATCCCTCAAGTGAAATTCACTTCCACTTCATGTCCATCTCATTTCATCTGTCCTCCTAGCAACCCTCACTTCATATCTGATTTTTATGACAATTACGAATCCTTAATTGCCATCCTTCCAACCAATTCCCCCACTCCCCCACAAAAAACCATCTGTAAACATTTGTAGTTCTCTCTGCTGCTCAAGAAATCCATCTATTACCTTGCCCAAGTGAGTTTGGTGCTATTTTTCACCCCTTTCACTGGATTATTTGTTAAAAAAATATTTCAAAACTATTACAAAAAACCTATCAAAAATGCTCCTTGGAAAACTGAAGAAAAACTTCCAAAATAGATGATGCTCACGATTCCGCATCAGCATTTTTCATAGTCAAAAACTACCATTACTCATCCAACAAAAGTAATTTTAGCCAAGATCGTTTCCTCTTTCAGGTCTGTCTCTGGAATTTCTCTATAACATGGTGAAAGTTTCCTGTACTGAACTTTTAATCAGTTGAGCCAGAATTTCTCTTGCATTAGTTCCTCCCTTGCAGCAGAAAATATTCACCCTAAACAAAAGCTCTAAGTTTTCATTTAATGTGTGTATTAAGAGATCCAGGATCCTAAGATGAAGGAATGCAAAACAATTAAAAATGGAATTTCTGCTGTTACTCATGTCTGCAGTATTGGTAATGCTCTGCAAATACTTCAAGCCCTTTTTAAAATAGATGAAATACCACTCTGCTTTTCACACAAAAAACACAGGATCTTGTTCATACTTTGCTCCTGTCCAAATCCCACAGTTTGCCTTCAGTGAGACAGAAATGAAACCACAGCCTAAGTTTTCTTAGCTGATTCCAGCTATCCTTGCTCCTTCACACGCTCTCCTTATTTTACAGAATGTTTTTGTACCAGTTGCTTTAAAATGCCAGAGTGACCTGCCAAGCTTGTGCATCAAAACAGCCCCTCTGCAAAAGGTCCTCTGAGGCAGCCAGTGATATTTTGCAATAGTTTTAAATCTAGTCCAATTTATGTCTATTTTCAACCTTGAGATTCCCCTTCGTACAGCAAGAACGCCTCAAGATGGTTATGACTGATAGTTTTCACTGTATTTTCAGCTCTTACAAAGACTGACTGACTCACCAAATTAGAGGATTAGTAGCCCTAGCTGTCATTTGGGCAGGTGAGCTCCAAGGACAGCTCTGTAAGCAAACCTCACTTGTGCCCTACAACACGCTCCTGAATTCAAGTCCTACTGAGGGTACAAAAATAAAAGAAAAAAAAACAAAAAGAAAAAAAAAATGGACAAACCCTGCCAATCTCCCTCATGACCTACTTGAGCCTCTCTCTCCTATTCTGAACCTGGGTATCCTGAACAGGGGCACAAAAACATTACCCATTTATTATTTTATTTTATCGTATAGAAGTCAAATGATGGATGCAAAAACTTCTTTTTCAGTTCACTTCACTTTTGAATTTTTAGCAAAATTCAGACTTCTGGTCTAACACAGCAATTTGCTCCTTTTTTATGGAGCAGACAATATGAGTATTAATATGACTGTTCCTTTCAGGACCATCAGTGGAAACCAGTAAAAGGAGCTTTCCTGTGCTGTCTGGCTAAAACAGGTTGCACTGAAGGTAGCAAATATCTCTATGAAACATCAGCTGCAGAGGAGCATGCCCTCAAACAGAGCCTTTAGGTTCCTGTAATTCAAGGAATAAAGTGAGATGGCATCCTCTGAGCTTTGTCATCTGACAGAAGCACAGACTGCTTTGTTCTGCTCCATCACCTTCCTGGTGGATGCTTGGGAGCAGCTGAATAGACAGAGAAATGAGAAAGAGGAGGAAGACATGTACAGATCAGGACAGGGTGGCATTACAAACTCCCCCTGGGTCACCTCTTACTGTGGTAGAGGTGGTTTTGCTTGTGATGAAAGTGCCACAAGTCAGAGTCCAAAAGCAGCACATACTTGATGTGTAAGGAAGGGAGAATATCAACACTTCTCACCTAGGAAAAAAGGGGAGGACTTTGAGTTCAAACTCATGACCAGTTTTTGTTGGGGTTTTTTGGCAAGAGAAGTGCACAGCAGCAGTAGGAAAATAAGGTGACACGGCTGAACACTTGGTCTTGTCAAAAAATCCTGGAAATACTTCCTGAAGGAAGATTTTCTTCCCCCTTATCTTAACAGTTGGCCCTTACTTAAAATGATCTCTCAGTTCATTATGCACATGTCATTCCAATTTTTCTAAGTATGCAAACTTAGTTTGCAAGGAGACAGGCAGGTTTGGAAGATATTTTATTTTATCTTGTTAGGAAGTGCTTTGGCAAAAACATAGGAGAAAAACTGAGTGACAGATAAGCCTGAATGACCACTCTGCGTCAACAAAGGACTAAATTTAGGTTTCTAGACAAGTGGACTTCTCCAACCAGTGGGAAGGCAGGGAAGAGCATCTGAAAAACTTCAAAAAACTTTAATCTAGTAAGAAAAGGGAAAACAAAAGGCAGATCATACTGGTCATAACCAAATAAAGATTCATAAGGACCCTAATATAGTCAATTTACTTCAAGTGTGAAAATGAGGAGGAAAAAAAACAGGAGAAAAGAGTTAAACTGCATTTTCTCCTATTATAAGAGGAGCACATCCTTCTAGACAGTTCCTTCTATGAGCCCCAGAAAGCAATTTCTATCTTTTTGGGCAGGAAGAACTGGCTCTTTCAGATGTGGTAAACTGCAGTGAGAATAACTGGCCCTACTGTGGGATCAGGATCTGGGCTGCACATGAACTGCCCTGAAAACCAAACTAACCTGAACAGGTCAATATAAATCCCACCTCCCTTGCCCAGCTCCCACTCAGCTATGGGCATCCTCATGGCAGCCAGTAGATTTTGCTCCAGCAGCAGTTGTCTGTACTTAAAACATTGATATTATTTCTTTCAAATAGCTGAATCTTTTGAATTTCAATGTCTGGGAGGTTTATCACATGCTCTATATACATCCAGACAATTATATTGCAATGTTATTGGAATTATATTAGGTTTTCCACCTTAGGATACCACAGTGAAATCCCTTGCATTTGCAAATTTGAAAGTAGGACATGAAATGAAAATCCAGGTTCAAGCTCTTCAAAGCAACAGTGGTTTTAGACATTATAAAAATCTGCACAGGTCAGTAAAACAGAAAGCTACTGAAGCCTTCTCCAAATGGGATGGATACCTTTCTGCTCTGTTAAGCATTAAAGAATTAATACAGTCAGTTGTATTAAAGTCTCTTCTATAGAACTTCAGTGTTATTTTGCACAAAATTTCGTGGGTAAGGACAAATGACTGTTCTTCGTTTCACTGGGCATGGTAACTCTGACAGGGAAAGAAAGGAAAAAAGCATTTATTTGCTTTACTGTGGTTCTGAAAAACTCATCCATGATTAGGGCTCCATTGGTTATATGCTGTAAAAATGTCAATGCAAAGAAAGCTTCTGCCCCAAAGAGTTTACAAACAAGCACAGGCAGTAGGAAGGGATACAAACACCTAGTGTTGAAGCAATAAATCCTTTTCCTCCACTACTCCCAGCTACCATTTCATTTAACCATAATTAGGTGGCTTATTTCCTCTAGGCATTGCAGGCAAAGTATGTATTTTGAGGACAAATATGAGAGGAAGGTCAATGGTCCTTCAGATCAACCCAGCCCACACACAAGCTGTAATGCTGAAGGACTTTGAACACTGTGTAGGCAGGAATTCCAAAATGGCTTTTCCATTTTCCCATCACTCCCCGGTCAAACTTGGTCTTTTTGGCACTGGTTCTACACCATACATATCTAAGAAAGGAAACCTCGTGCCAGTCTTAAGAGTTGTCCATTAACAACTTTTTGTCTTTTTTTTAATCAAAAAGAAGATCCACAGGATGGGCAGAAACAAGAAAAACCAATCTCACCTCCAACAACTGACCAGAACTGCAACAAGCAGTAGGACGAGGGGTATTTAATCCATGTGGTACGCCTGAGAAAGCCTACCTATCACTTTCCTCCTACCTCATGCACTAAATAAACTTCTATTTTAAGTGTTTGAGTTTTTCCAAGCTTTTCAAGTTCAGGTTTAAGGTATTTTAAGTAAACTTCAGTTCTACACATACTTCAAGTTTAAGCTTTGCTGAACTTTATCTGAATCCCAGCACTTGACCTTTTCATTTATCATTTTGACATTTGATTTTAGAAACATTGATTCTTATTTGCAAAGCTTTACCCATGCACTCCCAGCTGTACAAAAAAAAACAACCAACCCAATCTTAGCCATAAAGAGCTTGTGGTTGCGGGCAAGAAAGAACAGCCAAAAAACACATGAAGAATCTGATGGTTACAGATTGCATGGAAAGCATTCCAACAGATAAACAGAAATGCAGAGAAAGCAGGATGGCTTTCCAGCTGTAAGCATCACAGCATCACTGGGATGAAAGCCAAAGAAGGATTTATCTTTTTTTAATGTAACAGAATTTACTTTCTATAAAACCATCCTGTAACAGTAGTTTGTAAGGACTTCACTCCTTGGAAGGACTAAAATTTGACTTCAAAGCTCTGGAGTAACACTTCACTAGGTATCCCAAACAACATATATCCCACAGAAATTTGGAAAGAACTATTGATGCTGATTATCTGCAAAAGAGCAAGACATAAACAGAATTCCTTTTGTACTGTACCATGGGCACCAATACATATATCCACAGTGGGCCAACCTGCCTTATAGTCAACACTCAGATCCTCACCCTTT